TGTACCTAAACTCTTTATGCTCATAACCTAAGAAGATACACTATCTAGCCTTGTCATCAAGCTTGATCTTTCATTTCTAGGAATATGAACAAATGTCATGCAACTGAACACTTTCATATGACTGTATGATATGGCTTTCCCTATCCAAACTCTCTCTAGAGTATCTCCATTCAAAGGAATTGAAGGGGAAAGGTTGATGAGGTCAACCTCAGTTCTCATAGTCTCACCCCAAAAGGATTTAGGTAATTTAGCATGAGAGAACATACATTTGATTCTGTTAGTAATTGTTCTATTCACTCTTTCTGCTATTCCATTGTGTTGAGGAGTCTTAAGAACACTTTTCTCAAGCCTGATAGAATGGATCTTATAATATTCTTGAAGAGAACCCTAATATTCACCTCCATTATCAGCTTGGGTGCACTTCAACTTTTTTCCTATTTCTCTTACTTGAAAACATCATTGATCATTGGATTTCAAGGCAAATGTCCACACTTTTCTAGAGTGGTCATCAATAAATGTCACAAAATATAATGCACCACCAAGTGATTTATCTTTCATATAACAAACATCAATGTGAACTAAATCTAAAATATGAACCTTTTTAGATTGATGTAATTTATGAAATGCAACTCTACTTTGTTTGCTAGTTAAGCAATATACACAAGTTTCAAGAGGCATACCTTTCACATCAGGAAGAAGTTTTTCTCTAGAAAGTATCTGGAACCCTTTTTCACTCAAATGTCCAAGTCTCAGGTGTCAAAGCTCAATGGATGAATCATGAATTCCATTCACCTCTCATTTGCTCAACCTTACTTGAATCACATAAAGGGTATTGTGCTTCTTCCCCTTTGCCATAATAAGTGAATCCCGACTGAGCTTCCATTTTCCATCATTAAAGGTGTTTGCATAACCTTCACCATCTAACATGTCAGTGGAAATAAGATTTAGGCGAATATCATGAACATGTCTAACATTTTTCAAAAGCAATTTACAACTGGTATTCTTATCTAGACAAATATCTCACATGTCAACAACCTTTGATGTATCAACATTCCCCATACGAACATGTCCAAAATCACCTATAGTGTAAGATGTGAAAAGTTCACCTTCGAGAGTAACATGAAAGGAGGCACCTGAATCTATAACCCAATCACTGTCTGGACATGCAAAGTTGATATAGTAATCATCACAAACAATAATGACATCACCCTTGACTACAACAACTGTAGTATCTCTTTCTTCTTTCTTGCTTTCGCCTTTTCCTTTGGCTTGTTCTCTTTTCTAAATCTGACATCCATTCTTGTAATGTCCTAGTTTATTACAGTGATGACATAATATTTTTCTTAAACTTGGATCTCCCTCTAGATTTATCATATTTGTTACGATGACCTCTACTCTTACTTCTTCCCTATCTTTCTTTCTTTTCTGTCACAAGAGTTTTTCTAAGTTCCTTATTCTTTCCTCCTCGACTCTTCATTCAACAAGGCATCTTTGACTGTATCATTGGTTACTATGTCATTAGGGGCTGAGTTACTAACTGAAACCACCAAAGTTTCCCAATTGTCAGGCAAGGAACTAAGTAGCAACAAGGCTTAAACTTCATCATCTAGATTCAATCTCATAGTAGTCAATTGATTTATCAAAACTTGAAAATCACTCAAATGTTCAGACATGTTAGTTCCATCTTTATATCTCAAGTGTGAAATTTTTCTAATCAAGGGAGCCTTATTTAAACTCGTTTTCCTTTAATACATAAACTCTATTTTTTTTCCAAAAAACATTAGCTTTAGTTTCTTATGCAACATGGTGAAAAATACTATGGTCGATCCATTATCGGATTTAACGTACAATTTTCCTATGCATAATTCCCCATTCATCACTTGGCTTTGCTTCATCACCTCTTATGGGTAGGTACAAATCTTTACAATAAAATATGTCCTTCATTCTAGGTTTCCAAATAGCATAGTTCGATGAGGTCAATTTGATCATAACACCTAAGGAGTCCTCCATTTATATCAACACAAACAATTAATTTAAGCTAACCAACTCGGATACCATTGTTGGGGAAGATACAATATAGTAACAGAAATGAGTATGAAAAATAATCCTAAGACAGCAAGAAACTTTCCCCTAAGTTTGTGTGCTAAAATGGGTTTGTCAACAGCAATGATAATAGATAAACAATTCAGCCAAGCAACAGAAAATACAAATAACATTCACCACACAATAGCACACCAGAATTTTTACATGGAAAACCCCAAATTGGGGAAAAACCACAAGACCTATGGTCTGTAAAAATCTTCCACTAATTCAAAAATTAATGGGTATAACAGCCCTCTCTAGTAGCAACTAGAGATTTACAAACATCAAGAAAATAATCTTTGGCTCACAAATACAGTATTAACATCACCAAATGTAAGATATTCAAAAAAAAAATAAAGGTTTGGATCTCACCAAGTTATTGTAAATATGAAACTAAAAATAAAATAAGAGAACTAATAACTAGAGTGAGATTCTTGACTCCTTGAATAACACTTAATCACATCAAGAACAGGCTTGAAAACACATCCAAACTTGGCCTTGATTGGAATGGAATAGAAACCAGGTCTTTATCACTTCCGTGGTTATGGAATGGAAGAAAGCCAAATCAAAAAGGTGGGAGCCTTTATGGCTTTCTACAATACAACTCCTTTTTGGGAGCATGAAAAGGTGGAGTGGGCCCCTCATATAGGATGAACCCACACCCAACAGATATATTGCAAACTAAGGATGAAATATGGTCATGAATAATTGTTGAATTAATTTATGGAATTTATGATGATTTTCTTTCTTTTATTACTTTATAGAGATGAGAAAAGAAAGTTGATGGAATTGTTCCCTTTTTATATATTTTCCATCAAACCAACACAACAATGCAATCATTGATTTTAGGAAAAAACAAACTAGCAGGGAAATGTGATGTATAAGATTTATTAAGCGAAAGCAAAACAATTGAAACACATAAGAGTATATAATTTTTTTATATTTTAACTTTTTAAAATAATTAATATATATTTATATTTTGTGTCCGACTATGATATAGGAAAGATATGATATCTGAAAAAATTTTGACCAATCAACTGCTATCACAAGTGTGGTAGCCAATCAGGTGTTATTTATTAAAATTCATGGGTGAGTTCCCACATCATAGATTTTCCCTTATATTTTATATGTTACTTTTAATAATTTTTCTACAATAGAAAAATAACAATAATTAATTTCAGCTAGGGTTGTTCATCAAACTGATGAAGCCGACCAAACCGACCATCTCGACCCGAGTTAGTCGGTTTTCTAGTATTTCCGATCGGCGTTGGTTCAACAATTTCCTAACCTGACCAAGTTAGATCAATTTCGCTTTGGCCATTTGTAAATCGACCAAAACCGAACAACCTAACCATAGATATATTAATATTTTATATTTTTAATATGGGAAAGTGGGAAAATTCCCATATTTCTTAGTCTAAAATATTTCATAGCATAAATTTAATTTTTTCATTTATTTTTAATAATCCCATTATAACTTTTAAATTTATTTTTTAAGTTTAAAACTTTTGAACCGACCGACCAGACCAAAAATCGACCCAAACTAATACAACCCGGGTTGGCCGATTTTCATTAATGGTCAATTGGTTTCGGGTGACCAACTCTCCAACCTGACCAGGTCAATTTGCTTGGACGAACAACCTACAACCAAACCAAACCAACCTGTCAACACTTCAAATTTCAACTAAATTAATAGTCTAGTCTCTAATAAATAATAATAGTTTAATCTCCAATAATTAATGAAAAATTATAGGAAAAATACACAATTATTGAAAATATGTTGATAATGAAAATACAATAATTACAAAAATAAAATAAATATTAAAAATATGTTAACTAATCAATAAATAGTGTAATCTCAAATAACAGTTTAACCTCTCATAAATATTAATCAATAAATTATAGTAAAAATACAATAAGTACAATAAATTAAAACTTAAAAAGTTAAATAAGAGTATTTTAATCTCCAATAATTATTGAAAATTTTTTGTTAAATAACAAAACAAAACTAGATTTATACATAATTATTGAAGATATATTTATCAAAAAAATAATAAATAATTACTTAAAATACAATAAATATTAATTTTAGTATATATAAATATATAATGAATATAGACTAAGATTTTAAAATTGGTATTAATAAATATTTATTTTTTTGAAAGTTATTTTCTAGAATTATTAATTGATATAAGTGAAATTAGTTATTTACAWTATTATTCAKTTATTTWAATAATAWCATTATTTAAATTTTAAAATATTAATTATTTATTGAATTTAATAATCCATAAAATTATAATTTATGCTATTATTACATAATTTCGTTATTAATTTTGTAAAATATTAAATTATTATTAATTTGAATATTATATTATAATTTTGTGATGAATTTTTTATAAATATAAAATTATTAATAATATGAATATTACTAGTGGGGACCCATGCCATACACGGGAATACCTGAAAATTCAATATGATGATAGAAAGGATTAAATTAAAATGTAAATTTGACCTGCCTCCATCCCGTGAGGAGATGAGGAAGACAACAAAAAGAACATACCACTACAAAGAAATACAACAAAACCACAACTAGTATAGAAAGTATAATTATAAAAATGGTAAAACCCCAAAATTTTCATTCCATAGGTGAGATCAACTCTTTTTCCTTACATAAAATTGCTAAAAGGATATTGGGCCAATCTATCAAGGCAAAACTGGAATTGTTGTGGTTGGTCAAAACAAACAAATATAACAAGTCTCCATTAAATATCTCTACTTGGGCTCTCCATTATGAAGTGTTAATTGTCTATCAAAGATGATTAGGAGCAAAACTCTTAGTACATCACATGGTAACCATTAAAGTATTATCCAAGATCAGTGAAAAGAAAGAAAATCATACATGCCAAAAAAACCATAAGTGAAATAAATATGACTCAAGAAATTTACTGATATTTAAGAGAGAGTGCTGGATTATAGATACACCAATAAGATTGTTAATCCCGACTAACAACAGCAAAATATGATAATACAATAATGGAGACAATCCTGCAGTAAATTACATCACTTAGCCTAATTTCAACTACTCATTAACACTGAAAAAGATCACCTAATTAAAGATCTTAATGGCTTCCTTGAATAACTTCACTGATGAGATCAACCTTCAAAACATCAGGAATAAAACCAGCACCAATTCCTTGTACTTGTGCAAGCTGCTAACATTTTAAAGTATCCCTTAGAAGGAAACTTGAAAGATAGAAAAAAACAATATTCATGGTTTTTAACCACTATGCAGACTTGCAAAGACAAACAGATAAAGCACAATTTCCCCATCAAACAATTACACAAATTCAAAGTCATGGCTATATGACTAAAAGCGTACAACATTAAAAAGTTATCCAAAATATTGTGGAGCCCATTAACTTCCTTCATTACTTGCAATTGCAACAGACTAAATATTCAATTCCTTTGCATCATTTCAAGCGAAAATCATGCACGAAATAGAAGTATAATCATTTCCTTGTTACGAAATTGGTTTTAACTAAGCAAAATAACACCTTCCAATTGAATCGTATGGAGATTTAGCATAAGCCCCAACTAAATCCCTTCAACTAAGAAAAATAAAAGAAAGTAGCAAGCCTGTGTGATGCACAGGGGTGAAAAAAAATTTGATGGTGAAATAAGTAAATGACTTTTTAAGAAAAAAATAATGTCATTTTTAATACAAAAATATTAAATATTAAAAATTAAAATTTTAAATCAAGATTAGATCCCAATGTTAATTTATCTTCCCAAATACAAAAATACTAAACAATTTAAAAACTAAAAACAAAACCGAATAAAATGTTTGTTCATTTTTATCAAAAACAACTCTGGTAAAAATATAAGAATTTTCAATATTAAAATGGAATGAACTACTTCAAAGGATTAATAAAGAAAATGAGAAAGTAGACTTGTTAATTATGGGAGGACATGCCTTACAAAAATGTGGAGCCATAGCAAAAGCCTAGCCATAGCCATAGCCAATAGCAACCAATGTTTTTGAACCGTCGTTGACCCGGATGGTCGGACCATTCGGCTCGGAAACCGTCCAAGCAACTGGTTCTATTTCACCCCTAACCCGTTAATGGGTCAAAAACCGTTGACTTCGTTAGAAAATCGCTGACCCAGACAATCGAACCGTCAACTCGATTGACCCGGCCAGCGGTTTGCTATATAATGTTGTAGAACTCAAATCTGAGATCCGCACGAACTCAAATCTGCGATCCGAGAAGGAGAAGAAGAAGAAGAAGAAGAAGAAGAAGAACTACAGGTGTTTAGACTTTAGAGAACTCAGATCTGAGATCTGAGATAGATCTGAGATCCAAGAACTCAGATCTCAGATCTGCATCTATTGCCGTCACGCTTGCCATCACCGTCGCCTATGAGCATTGAATCCTCTTCCTTCTTCCCTCCTCTCTTTCCCTCTTCTTTCTTTTTTTCTCTCAGCCAAACCTGGCTTTTCTCAGCCAACATCTTCCTTAAATTCTTTCTTACATGAGTTTTGCACATTAGGGCGAATCTCATATAAACATTTGCCCTAATATGCAAATCGTTCGAACCATTCAATCCAGATGGTTGAACCGCTGACCCGAAAACCAGTAGCTAGAACAGTTTCGTTTCCGGGTTAGTTTTTAAAACCTTGATAGCAACAGCATAAGTTGTTGGCTCCCCAGCCAAAGCTTTTCCGTTTTCTTGCCCTATATTTTTCAAGAACTGGGACCAACTTGGAGATCTTGGTTTCAAACATAAAGGCATCATCCTAAGCACTATAATCAAGCAAAAATATGAATATATTAGCTAATTACTGAAAATGCAAAAATAAAAATATTTTTTATTAATTTGATGAAAACTAAATACCAAAAATAAGAAAACAAATTGATATTCTTTCAGTAATATCAGTAGTTAATTTTAAAATAAATATTAAAATAATATGAATAAAAATAAGATTAATATTCTAGTGGAAAAACAATATCTGTAAAAATAAATTTATTCTTTCAAAATTCGGTTAACTTGTAAATTTGTAACTAATTATTAATTACTGAAATAATATAAATAGTTTTTATATTAATTGAAACTAATTATTAATTATTATTGATATTACTGATATAAACTGAATGCTTTGCTCTAAAGTTCCGGTGCTGGATAGTACTAGGGGTGTTCAAATTCGGTTAATGAACCGAAAACCGAACAGAAGAAGCAAGTTCGGTTTGGTTAATTTGGAAAACGGTTTGGATCGGTTTTTTATAAGCAACTAATTCGGTTTTAGGTTTGGTTTGCAAAAAATTTTCAATCGAACCGATATATATATAAGTTGAGGCATTTAAAATCTGGTTGGGGGTATTTGGGGAACTGCCGAACTAAAATAATTATGAACAAAATTTAAACCAACTCCAACCTTTCAGCTTCTTTGGTTCTTTTGGCGCATTTCCTTTCCAGTTTCTTCGCCTTTTCATTTCCAGCCAAACCTCCTGAGTTCTGAGTTTCCAACTCCAAGTTCGAACGTCTTGATCATTCTAGTATTCTCCAAATCTCCAACGTCTAAACCAGTAAGGCAGTAACCAGTCTTCTTCAGGCTTCCTTCTTAGCACGAGTGCACAGCACCACTTCAACTTGTGACTTCGTGATTATGTGACTGTAAGTCTATAACTGTGGCTGTGAGAGACAAAAACAGATATAAAGAATTGTCAACTGGGCATTCCAGAATCTAGATTTCCAGTGCTCTACTCCATTTTCATTGCTGTTGTGTTGCGTGCTACCTGCTAACCACCATACCAGTTGCAGGCTTGCAGCTGTGCTCTGTCATTCTGAATTCCAGCTACCAGTTTACCACTAATGTGAGTTTTCACCCACCCACTAAAAATCCCATAAAGTCGAAAACCATTATTTAAAACCTCAGTTTTTAAAAAACTGAAACTATGAATTCAATTGTGTTCATTAATAGTCTATTCATTTTTAGATTCTTTGACTGCCTGATAAACATGGATCGGCCATTGAGTTTGTGACGATGAAAAGTGCAGACTGTTAACTTTTCTGTCCCAATCAACAGAGTTCAGATCTGCTCCCAACAAACACTTCCAATACTGTCCCAATGGCCGATCCATGTTGGGTAATCTCTTAGCTTTTCTTTCAATCAAACAGTGTTCTTCATCCTGTATTGTTGATTATAGAAATGTTAGATACAAAACTAAGAAGTCAGAGCTTTGTTGTATTGGCATCCCATAGTCCCACTCTTCTCAGTGCACTAAAGAGAATTTGACCAACATATGTTTGAGAAAATTTCAATTAATTAAACTTGTAGTATAGTTGTTAGCACTTAGCAGTTAGCAGTTAGTTCAACCAGACACTAACAGGATGCATGCCAAGAAGAATATCATATTCTCTGCCCAAACAAACTTTAAAATAAACTAAAATCTTATATATATGGCTAGCACTAGCATAGAGCTGGACTAGCTGGTACTCAGACTTTAGGATCTCATGTTTCTAATCAGAAATGGTAATCTTGCCTTTACTTAAAGAATGTTTTTTGTGCTTACTATTTGATCACTAGGCTCAGTTTGGAAAGTACAAATGCAAATGTATATAGTACAAAACCTTGTATTTTGTATTGTTTTGTATGTATTTGCACTTTACAATCTACATATTTGTATTTGTACTCCTTCCAAACTAACCTAAGGGGTATTTGTTGATGCAACAATCATATCCGTTTCAAAAAGCAAAATTATGCACCCTTAAGTTGGTTATTTGTTATTTATCTTGACATTGATTAATTGTCTAGTTGTCTCTCACCCATTAATCTAATTTTTTTTTATTAAACTGATTTCTAATACTGAATTCTTTTTCCCTTGGGTGTCTCAAGTTGGGGAAGGTGCAAATAAAGATGTAATTGCAGTCGAGGTTGGCGGTACAAATTAATAAGAAACTAATGATGCAGCCACAAAAAAGAAGGAAACACGTAAGAGGGCAAAGATGAAGGTTAGATCAGAGGTATGGGATCATTTTACTAGACTTGATCCAGATGAACATGGGTTTGTTAAGGCTAAGTGTAATTATTTCCCTTCAACTTGTAACTGTGATCCCAAGGTAAATGGGGCTAGTAACCTTTGGAATCACATTAATAAATGCAAGAGCTACCCTTACAAGACTACCAATGATTCAAAACAAACACAACTCAACTATCAATCGGGCACAATGGAGGGAGAGGGTAAGAGTACTCTTACATATCAAAAGTTTGACCCAGATGCTTTAAGAAAGGCCCATGCTCATATAATAATTGTTGATGAGCTCCCCTTTAAGTTTCTATAGAATGATGGGTTTAAACGATTTTGCGGGCTTATGGAACCAAAATTTCGAGTTCCATCAAGAGTTACAATTGCTAGAGATTTTTTTTCAACTAAAGACTTTCATAAAGAAAACAAGTCAAAAGAGTTTGCCTTACCACAGATACATGGACTTCATTGCAACAAATTAATTATATGGTTCTCATAGTTCATTTTATAGATAATGATTGGAAAAAAAAAACTTTCGAATTTTGTTCCAATATCTAGTCATAAGGGTGAGATGATTGGTAAGGTAATTGAGAAATGTCTCCTTAATTGGGGTATTGAGAGGATTTTTACCATTACCAAGGATAGCGCAAATTCAAAATGATCAAGCCATTACTTATATAAAGAAGAAAATTAACAAATGGGGAGGTAGTGCATTGAATGGAAATTTTCTTCACATGGGTGTGTTGCTCATATTCTTAACTTTATTGTGCAAGATGGCTTAAAAGAATTGAGTGATTCGGTTGTGAGGGTAAGACAAGCGGTTAGATATGTCAAGAAATCTCCATCTAAGCTATAAAATTTCAAATCTTGTATTGAGGAGAAGATACAAAGAAAGAAGTTGTGTCTCGATGTCCCTACTAGATGGAATTCAACATGCATGATGTTAGAGGCTACCCAAAAGTTGCAAAGGGCATTTGATTGAAGAACAAGACCCCTATTATGAAAGTGATCTTAGGGAAAGGGAGGGAAAAGGGAAACCTAATGATAAAGATTGGGATAATGAAATAAGATAGGTCATATTCTTCGAGAATTTCTATAATTTGACATTACGTGTTTTTGGATCTAGATATGTGACTTGTAATGGCTTCTTCATGAAATTAGTAACCTCAGTACCCTCTTACAAGAATGTTATAAAAGTGATGAGCTTGATTTCAGTATGTTGTTTTATAAAATGAGAGGCAAATTTGATAAATATTGGGGAAATCCGGAGAAGATGAATATAATGATTTTTGTTTCAGTTGTGCTTGATCCATGGTACAAAATGGAGTAAGTGGAGTTTGTGGTTAAAGAAATGTATGAAGCTCCTTTGGCTTTGACGATTTGTAAGAAAGGTGAAAGAGGTGATTTACACTTTGTTCAATGAGTACAAGAATGATAATTCATCTACAAACAAGCAAACAAGTGACAAAATTCAATGTTCAAGTATGGTGGATGATGGAGAACCACCACAAAAGGTAAGAACACAAGATCGTTACAAGAGGATCAAGTCTACAAAGGATGGTGGGAGTAGCAAATCAGAGTTGGATAAGTATTTGTTTGGAAGTGAAGAGGATGATAATGATTCTTTTGATATCTTAGGTTGGTGGAAAATCAATGCCCCTAGGTTTCCTACACTTCCACAAATAGCATGTGATGTGTTAGCAATTTTTGTTTCTATGGTTGCTTCTGAATCGGCATTTAGCATGGGAGGGTGTGTTCTTGATCCATTTAGGAGTTCTTTGACTCCTAAAATTGCGGAGGCTCTCATTTGTTCTCAAAATTGCCTTTGAAATTCTTATTTGCCTAACTATGAAGAGAGTGTGGATGAAAGGTAAATGGCTTTATTGCTTTTTTATTATTTTAAGATTTATAATATTTAAAATGTGCATTGTGAACGTCGGGAAAATGCCTTCGCCGACTGTTCACTTCATAGCTCAAGTTATGGAGTTGCCACCCATCAGACATGGCTAACTAGCAGTGATGGAGCTCTCGGATTTGCTTTCAGTAAAAAAAAAAATCTCAAAATAAATAGTGACTCCACACCACTCCGCTAAGGCAACGCTCATCTGGGTAAGTTGAGAGGGAGAGAGGGAAGGGGTTAGGCATCCCTCTCTCCTGTTAATGTGAATACCGAAATCCCTTCTTTGTAATTAAATTTTTTATTTGATTTTGCTTCTAAAACAAAGAAATACAACAGGTCAGTGGATTGGAATCCGTATTTTCTAGCAAATTGGGAGAGTATGATTGAAAATGCATCTTCCCCTCCTTCAGACCAACCCCTTTTAGACATAGGAATCTGAGTAAAAGGGTAAGAATCCCGACCTCATTTCTATCAGAGTCCCCACCTTCGGACACGGCTAGTAAGTCTAAGGAGCGGAAAGAGTGACATAACCTCCTCCAAATGCTAGATAAGACCCAAAACAACCAAAATCCAACTATAGCGAAACTAAGTCGACAGCAAGAAGGAGAGGTAGAGAAAACAAATGCTACACTATCAATCTTTGTTAATCAACCAGCAAAAACGACCCTAAAAAATACACAAATAAAAAAAAGGGGGAGAGGTAGAAGATTTACCTCTTGTGGCCTTTACAAGTATCAACAACGTTGATATTCGCAGATGGGTTTGAAGTACTCGAGTGAACGAAGTGGAACTCTTTGGTCGGCAATTCAATAGATGACAGTAGGGAGCAGGTCGATGACAGAGAAGTGGTAGGTTGAAGATTTAACGGCAGAAGTGTGATGGATCAACGACAAAGAAGTGGTAGGTTGAAGATTTAATGGCAAAGGTGTGATGGATCGATGGTAACGCAGGTTGAAGCTCACCGGACAATGGATGATAGCACAATTAAGGAGATGAGGATTGTGGGTGTTGCCCTGAACCACCGCTCTTCTCACTCTCTCTCAGATTTTCCTCCCTCTCTTTCACGGTTCTCTCTATCGTCTTTCTCTCTGTTTTCTTCTCTCACTCGAACTCCCTTTCACTGTCTCACCTACTCAACTCGAGGGTTTTCACATACCCCCAAGGTGCTCCACCCCTCTTTTCTTAGAACGATCGTCCCTTATTTATAGGGAGAGGGAAGGGTGGCTTTTGCAAAACCCTAAAAAAAGGGATTTGAAAGGTCGGGGTTTAGATGAATAGGGAGGTTTCGTAACTTGGGGTCTGAAGGGTAACTTTGTAATTTTGGTAAGAAGGGCAATTTGGTAATTCTAGGGGATTTTGGGGCTTCTTAGCAATTTGGGGCAAAAAGGGGTAATTAGGTAATTTTGAGGGGGTTAAGTGATTTAGGGGTTTGAAGGGACATGTTTATAGGAGTATTTTGATAATTCGATGATGAAGGGCATTTTGATAATTTTGGCTTTGAAGAGTATTTTGGGAATTTGGTATGAGGGGTATTTGGGAATTTGGAAAAAGGGGTAATTTGGGAATGATCCAAAGGGTAATTTGGGGTAATCTGGTCAAGGGTATTTTGGTAATTTTAGGGATTTTGGAAGGAGGGGCATTTTGATAATTTTGGTCTAGAGTAATTTGGGAATTGGTCAAAGGAGTACGAGTAATTTTGGTTAAGGGTATTTTGGGGATTCTGGGGAATTTTGGAAGGAAATGTATTTTGGTAATTTTGGAAGGAGGGGTATTAAGTCAAAGGATATTCTGGGAATTGGTCAAAGAGGTTTTTGTATATTCTGGGTCGATTGGCGAGGTTAGATTGGCTCAGCTAGGCTAGGATGGGGAGGTTCTAGAAAAGGTTTGATACTACTAATCTAGAGCCCGGAACGGAATCTAGGTGTGATCAAGGAGCAAATAGGGTCTATTTTGGATGAAACCTCTCTAGGTAGGGCTTTTGGGTAGTTTGAGGTGATTAGTAAGGTTAGATTGAGCCAACTGGGCCCAGATCGGGCAGATTTGTAATCCGGTCAATCTTGGGCCTTAAAATGGAATCTTGGTGCGATTGAAGGATAAATGAAGGCATTTTGCGCTGAGATTTCACAGGTGGGTGTTTTGGTAGGTACTGAGTCTAATGGCTGTGTTTGATCTAATGGTTGAGGTTTAAGTGGAAATCGATCGGGACCACCGGATAGGTATCAAGCAAGTTTGACAGTAAATCTAAGGGATCTCGAGGGAAAGTTGGGATTTTGGATGTTTCAAAGGGATCAAAAGGGTCTGATCGGGCATTTGGGGCAAATTGGAGGTTTAGGCGGTAGACCGAGCAGAAATCGGGTGCTAATAGATGCCCCCTTTGTTATGAGGTAAGAAACTACGAAACAACAAAGACCAAAAAAAGCACACAAAGTTTTTTGCGAAGGGTAAGTTTGGAAGATGAAACGGAGTTCCCGTGCAGCATCGCTTCATCCTGTTCAGGCCAGTTTTATTATTGGCAAAGTGGCTTTTCCTAGGTATCAAGAACCTTCAAAATCTAGGCTCCTTTGCCATAAAAGAAGACAATAAAACAACTGGCAATTGCTTCATACTTCTCCAATGCAGGAGAAGACTGAATGTGCCTTAACTCCTCTAAATCTTTCTTCAACTTGGCTACATCTTCACAGATGGGAACTACTTTCAATGCCAATGATGTGTTTGCTAAATGCTCGTGTTGATCACCTGTCTCAATGTATGATTCTTCGGGATTCTCTGATCTCAACCACATGATGTGCTTCGAATTCTTCTTGGTACTAGATGCCATGGTCCTGAGGTAACTTCTCTGGTTCAAAAATGGCGGTTGGAATTTCCATCTTTAATTTTTTATTAGGTTTTTCTCTTTTTGCTTTATTTGCTTTTTCTGCTGGATAACTAAAAGGAATGAGAAAATTGTTAAGGGCTATGTAGTGGGAGGTTTTATCTGAGGCAACTAAGATGGGATATGCATAATGCAAAATGTATGTGAAACCATGCAATGCCAATTAAACATCGAGAAAACAATGATGAAACTGGCCTACCCCTAGTTCAAAATCGGATGGGGTGAACACCTAGGCAGATGAAGAAATATGCATGTGGCTAGGAGTGGGTTGGCCACCTATGAGGAGGGCAGGCTGCTATGAGCTGGCTATCTACTCACTAAACTCAAGGGTAGTTATGGGAGGGTGAGAGCTAAGAAACTGACTTGATAGGTGAATTTATTAGATTCTAATCAGGGGTATCTAGTGAGGGCATTTTAGGAAGATAACTTGAACTTGCCAGATGGTTGGAAAAGTTGCTAAATGCTGCTATAGTTAACTAGGCTGAATCATTGCAAAATGCAATGGGATGCAAACAAAGTGGACCTATGTCGTGAAAACATAAAAGAAGAAACCACTTTCGAAATACAACCAAAATTGAGGAAAAACTCGATTCAGATTTATTTGGGTTATCACAAGCTTAAGAAAAAGATTCTCACCCTATAGAATTTAAGAGGGTAAACAAACACACCAACTTCAATCAAGATAATCATAACTAAAGTATGCAAAGGGATCTGATTCCTTATTATTGTCGTTTACTTTTTATTGTTTTATTATTTTTCCCTTTTTATCAATTTTTTCTTCCTTTTTATTTTATTATTTTCTCATCTTTCTTGTTTTCTTTTGATATATATTTTTTTCCATATTTTTTATGATCCTTTCTCATGGTTTTTATCGACCATTATTTTATTTATTTTTAATTCCCACTAGTTTAAAAGACATTAGATTTCTTGGAGAATTTCTTCTATTTCTCTGCTCTCATTTTTTTTGTATTTTTTTTTATTACTTTTTGAATTATGATTCCTCTTGCCTTATTTCTTATGTTAATTCCAATTTTTCCTTTCTGTTTTTTTATCTTTCCCTCTTGTATTTCATGCTTTTCTCTCGCTTTTTTCTTTTGAATCCCCCCTTTTTTAAACTTTTCACTTGTTGGTATTTTGTATTTTCTCCTTTTTTTTGTTTTTTGGATTTTTTTGTTTTTTTACTTTTTCCTTTTTTATGGATTTTATCTCTCTTTTTTGTTGTATTTTCTGGATTTTAATCTTTCCCATATTAGTTTGGATTTTTTTCTTATTTTTTTATTTCTTTTTTTGGATTTTCCTTATTTTTGTATTTTTGCATGCTTTTTATTTTTTCTTTTCTTTTTTTGGTTTTTCTCTTTTTTTTTAATTTTGGATTTTCTCTTTTTTTTCAGATTTCTGGATTTCCCAATTTTATAATTTTCTATTTTTTGTAGTTTTCATCTTTTTTTGGCTTTTCTCTTTTCTCTTTTTTTTTAAATTTTTGGATCTTCTCCTTTTTTGTATTTTGTATTTTTTTTCTTTTTTTTTATTTACGCTTTTTTTAACTCCTAATAGGCCCCTTTAAGATTGAATATGCAACAAATGATGCACATGGGTTTGGGGTGTGATATCTAAATCATAGTTAAAAGGCCACCAGTCTTCAAACCTCCACCCATATGGGCCTCTTAGGTTACTGGCTAGCTGAGAGCTTTCCACCGGCCTCATCGGGTGCCTTGTCCCGATGGCTCAAAGTGTACCGGACTCTCTCCTAATAAAACAATAGGTTCTAAAATATCTACATATGTAATGCAATGTGCAAATGCTCAATGTTTCAATTTACATAGAAGATAAAAACGAAATAAGCAATCACACAAGAAGTATGATAGTGATAATATAAAGCTAAAAGCACAGGCAGTGATAATTTGATCTCACATCAACTAAGAAATATAAAAGCCATTCTAAATATAATGCACGTGCTAATCAAAACAGAATTTTTAAGCTTTTTCCCTCCAAACTTCAGCAAGAACCCACTTATTCTTAAACAAGGACCCTATTTAACTACTTCTTTTCTTCATTATTACATTTTTTATTTGTTTATTTATAAGAACCCAACAATTTTGCTATATTGACAAATCTACCCTCCTCAAAGATCCCCAAACTTGCATCAACAATCACTAACTTGCTAAACTCAGGAAGACATGTCCTTAAATGACTCGCTTGTCCCCAAGTGGGTTGAATCTCACAGAAATACATAGACTAACCACCATGCTTCAAGGTTTGGTCCACACCGCTCTGAGAAGGAAATATAACTCTCTTATTTCAAAAGGCATCCTAGGAGCTATCCCTGGCCCCCTGCTACGTTACACGACGGTCAGTCCTGGTCTCCTTACGGTCCCAACCTGTACTGGCTTAAATTCCCAACTTCAAGCTTTCACCCTTCCTAAAGCAACGTCAACTAGACTGTTAAAACATTCATCTATCTACGCCTAAGCAGCTCTTGTGAAGATGGGCTTGACCAAAAATATGTTTTACACCGACCACCCTCGGTTACTCTTTTTTATTAACTAGCTGAATCCCTTAACAGTTAATGCCTTCGAATACAGGTTCAGCAGCAAAACGGGAGATCCAACCGAGACCTACAGACACCCGTTGAAATTTCAGCTTAACTTTGACTTAGAGCTCCTAAGTGGTGTTCTAAGACCCACCCAAGACAGCCGGTGATGCTGCTAAAACAAAACATTCGAATCTGGATACAAGAGCTCCTAAGAATTAAAAACCATTATTTTGAATAGGTGTTTAGTCCTGAAAACAGTGGGCGCTTAAAGGTTACAATTTATTCCAACATCTTTAAGAAAGAAACCAAGGGAGTGGGGGAGCAGAAAAATTAAAAGGAGAGAACAAAAGGTAAACACTTAAGGCATATATGCATGAACAAGGATATTTACAGGCAAGATCTACCACAAAAAAGGCATACATAACAATTGCTCAAAGATTATCCTGCATATAGCATTCATCTACTGATATGGCAAACCAAATTTCTGGTCTCAATCAAAGATAACCCATAGATGATAAATTGAAACCAGATGGGAGGTCAGAATCAATATGGGCCTATTCCAAACTTGTGGATTCAGAATATGAAAATGAGTTCATTACCCAACATGAGATCTAAATGTGACAACACAAATTATTGAGAAATCCAAATCAAACTCTTCTTCTGTACCACTTGAAAACCAAGATTGGGCAACGGATTAAACTTCAAAATCAGAATTGTACTTTTGGAAACCTAATTGCAAACCAAGCAAAGTTTTGAAAGACTAAGATCATTCTTCTATAAACAAAAATTGCTT